ATGGCAAGATGGCGCAAACGGAAGTACTTCGCAGGTTTATGGTTTCTCATATTTAAATCATCATAACTCTGAAGATTATGATTTTTTTTTGATTTTTTTTTCAAATTTATAATCATACACATAACTTGATAAATACAAACACCAAAATAGGCTCTATTTAGTTCCCCTTTAACTGAGACAGGCAACAGGGAGAAGTGACCCCTTTGTGTCACGTCATGCGAAAAGTTAATTTATTCAGGAAGGTTTCATTTTTCAAATGGGTAAGTCACTCCATTAAAACTGTCAATTACAGACAGCGCAATCTCTGGCCAAAATTATTAAACTTAACAAGGTGGCAAATTATACACTCGAAACAGTTCAAGTTACCGGGAAATGACCCTGGCCTGTGGTACACAAGTTTTGAAATGTTCAACATGCATGTTAAATATATGGGTTCAACGTGTCATATTTGTATTAACCACAGGCCTGGGTGGCAGTGTCGAATAATCCCCAACGGCTTAATGTTTATTTTTAAAATGATCAACATACGATTTTTTTTATAGAATTTTATTATGGTGCTGGTTTTTGGGTGTATTGAAACATATAAAATATCACGCCATTAATTATTCTTCGTCACGGCCATTATATTCTACTCAGACAGTTGGAAATGTCATCCATGCTTTCCATGCAACAACCAGTTAACAATGTTACAGTATTACCAGGTAATGTTAAAGAAATCTCCGCAACTTATTGAAATCAACGCATGTTATGTTCACAGGGCAGAAGCGCATAGTACCAGATTAGCAATACACACTTTGTGTGTAAATCTGTTACCTTCCACGTTCACATCTTTTGTTGAGAAAACATAATTATCTTTGTACTTTCATTTGTACATACACATTTATTCACGTCAATAATATTTCGCGTCAAACCCATATGAAACATGACAGGGAATGACGAAAGTTCTGATATAAAAGACTGAATATACTAGTTTGTATTCAAAATAAAAAAAAACCATGGAATACATGGAAATATGCAAGCCTCAAGATTTAAACATCGAATACTAAATGAATCAAGTTGATTTTGATTAAGCAAATATAGAAGACACACAATTCAATATTGTTGATAGTTAGCCGCTTTAAAATATGCCCCTTCCCCATCTACTCGTGTATCTAGTCATAGTACAGTACTTGTGCAAATTATTTTGAAGGTTTAAGATGCCCAATGGAACTTGTTTTTTGACAATTTTTCTATCTATCTATCTTTCTTTCTTTATGTATTTAAGCATGTGGTAAGCTAATGACGTAAGCCCGAAAATGCATTGTTAGTATAATTAATGTGACTGTCTAGTGATGACGCAGTACATTTTAACGTGCACACTATATGTTTACTTCAAAAATGGCGGCCTGACTTGGAGTCGTCGTTCTGTAAATCAGACGGGGATGTGTTGAAAGGCCATAGTTATGATGATTCTAACAGTGACTTAGCACCATTATTCAAGGCATGTGACGCTACAATGTAAGGCTATCTTACTATCGCGTTATATTGAAGGGTGCTGGTCATCGCGCCACGCATGACTGCTGGGCAGAACAACGAGTCTAAAATGAGGCGTTACTTTATTTAGGTAATTTCGCGATCAGGTCAAAATTCGTACTCGTGATTTATTTAGAAGAGCATTTTGAGTGATTAGCAGCTAAGGGATCAAACATTTGACATCATGGGGGTGACTGGGAAAGCGTGACCAGCGCATTTTTTTGCTCGTGGGTTGTTGTCTGTACATTTTTATCTTTCTCCAATTTTGGCAATAATTGTATTTGCAAAATCTTGCACGAGTTTTTTTTAAAACAAATCTTACAGACACCCACATGTTTTCAAATGACCAAACCCTAAATCTAGCAGATTCAGGCAATGATCCCAGTTATCAGTGGGACAACGTTTTTGTTCGACCTGTGCCGCCCCTCGAGACGTCATACTCTTTGACTGCACTTCACAATATTTAAACATTGATTGCACATAGTGCATACAGTGTATACATGTACTTGTATTCTGATTTGGAAATCAGGGGCCACCAAGCAGCCATTTTTGTCCCAATGCATTGACACACTCACACTGTTTCCGCTATAGTAGCATTTGAATAGTTGATACAGTGATAGTAATTTAATAGTATATTGAACATCTAGTGTGAATGTGGCTTACTGTGAGATAAATGTTTGAGGATTACAAAATACAAATATTAAGTTAGAAAATAACATAAAGTTGGAAGGGCTGCAAAACAGTGATACTAAACTCAGTAAGTTTTTTACAATGTTTTCCCCTCGACAACCACATCATGCCATTTCAGTTTCACGCACTGTTTTATAAATGTTAATCCATGGAGATTGCTCTTGCTCTCAAATAGTAATACGATTATGCCAGGCATCAAACAGTATCAACACCAGCCTTAATATATATATATATATATATATATAAAATAGTTTAATAGTCTTCGTACATCGTAACTCAGTTAGTGAAATAAACAATATATTAACATTCGCCAGGAACCAATGGCTTTATATTTTCCCAGCTGTTAAAGGGAATTCCATCTTAGTTAAAGTAAGTCACCAATCACGGAGTGTAAACAAGTTGAACTTGCAAGTCCAGCATGGAATGAGAAATCGATAACTGGTAACATAGTGTCATGAATTTATTTCCATGTGTCTAGAGATCGGTCACTGATACTTGATACAAGGTCCTTGACGGAACTCGAGTCAGTGATTGGAACTAATTACAGGTATAAACTTTGCTGACAGGCTGTTATTCCTGACAGTTTGGTATATGTAGTCTCTTAATATGCCGAACATTTAATCAAGTATTTATGACGTGTTAAGTTTGCCTAAATGCGAGTGGAATGTGTGAATTATTTTCCGCTTATTTATCAGAGGAGGAATGTGTTATTGATACCGACTTTTGTTTTGCAAATTCCAATCCCACGCCGTTAGACTATTGTTTAGATTCAACGACTTGTGTTTTTAGAGTGGAGATTATAAACATATGTCGCAGGATTTGATAAATAGATTTTTTACTTATTGTTTTAGAAGTGACGAGCTTTGCAAGACTTTAACCGTGAGACACATCCTTGGTGATCACGAGATCGTGCCGATGACTGCAGCGGCTGATCGCATGGTTACACAGCCACGCCTTAGTGTTTTGATCTTTATTTAATATAAAGTTGGTGACCTTTGTAATAGGAGAATAGTGCAGCGTGAGGTTATCCCGGCAGACCGTTTTAAGAAAAGCGGGATGGTTTGAACCTCTCCCTGAGAAGAGTATTTGAGACTTATAACCATTGTATTCAGACTTATAACCATTATACGTAATCATTGTTCTTACTTAATTGAATTATTTTGTATTAATATTGTATTTAACCTGTATGACGAGTGTTGATTAAATAACGATATCTTTGATTTGTGAACGTATTATGCTAGGAGGTATAAGTGTAGTTTGAGAGGGGGGTATCATGAATATATTTCCATGTGTCTAGAGATCAGCCACTGATACAACTTGATAACTGGTTTCATGTGAAGTGCTTTGTGACATCATTCAACGCTCGCTCATAACCTGTTATCATTTAAGGTTATACAAGGTCCTGGACAGAACTCGAGTCAGTGATTGGAACTAATTACAGATATAAACTTTAGTATGTGTATTCTTCTAATATGCCGGGCAATTAATCAAGTATATATGACGTGTTAAGTACTTCGTGTGATTGGCTACATGCGAACGAAATGTGTGGAGGCCACGCCTCGAGCTATTAAACTTCCATGGGACAGGTTAAGGTTTTGAGATGTGAATAAACTAGTCTTGGTCAGTTTTGGGGAGTTCTCGGGGCGAGCCAGCCTTGGTGAGCTCTACACGTGGCGCGAAGACAAGAGGTTGACAAGAATTCCATCTCAGTGTTTTTTCTTTGCTTGGTTAAAGGGTTGCAAACGTATCGATCCCCGGTTACCTGACGTAACGCTAATAAGACGATAATTAAACTGTTATAATAGCATGCAACCACCCCTCTTATCAGAATTTGCATCCAGTGTTGCTGGATATTTTGTCCTCATCCTACCATAATTTGGCAAGAAAGGGAGCGGCAATTGTAGCACAGTCTAACCTTATTGTCATCAGCAAATATAATCAATTACACTGCATTATGAATAGTTGTCAATTTCACAATTGTGATTTTTATTGCAGATCCTATGAATTCTACATACTTATGTTGTAATAATCCGGCTGGCGTTCAACATGTTCAAATAGTAATCCATATTTCATTCATGGCAATAGCGTCTTCTATTATAATTTATATGAAGTACTTCACCGAATTACGTTACTATGACTACAAGTTTTTACTACATTACCCTGGACACGCGTTCAAATGGACAATATCAGGAATACTTATAGTGGTATTATTCTTTAGTGCAGCAGAAGGAATCCTAACTGACTTGTCAAGAAATGACGTCACCAACCCATACTTGTATATTCCACAAATGTTTTCATTATTGGGACTGATCATAAGTTTAGTGTATTACCATCATATGGAGTACTGGGATCGACCTCATCTTGCCTGGTGGTTGTTACTTTACTGGATCATGGCTATTACTGGAGAAGTATTTGCAGTATTTACAATGTCACAGTCGATTGGTTTTAATTATATTATCTTGCGATTAGATATTGGTATTATCGTTATTATTTTATATTCATGCTGTGCAGCGGGTGAATTTAACGTACTTCGAAAAAAGGTGAGCATGGGTTTTCAACTACTACGCACACTCGATAGATTGTTCATGCTTAGCCAATTTAGTAGTGATATTCGCAATTATTCAGATTAGTGCAGTCCGGCTAGTATTTGCTTGGCCTCAGTGTGGTGGGTAAATGCATACACGATATTTGGATCATACCGGTAGTAAT